AGCCGTGAATGCTCTGGACGGAGTTCACACCGCTCTTGTAGTATCTGGCATGGGACTCGGTGTAGCGGGTATCGGTTTACTATCAACTATAATCGCCGCGCCTATCGTGCTCGGCATGGAAATAACCGCTGGAGTCTCGGGACTGGCAGGAATAGCGATAAAATTCATTTCTCGTAGGTTACAAAAGAAAGCATTAAAACACGATAGTATTCGGATACTCGCCGAAGCAAAGTTGAACAGCATTGAGGATCATATTTCGACAGCAATGGCCGATTGTAAGATATCCGAGGATGAGTTTCGTTTAGTGCTGTCGGAGCTCAACAAATACAATAAAATGAAGCAGGAGATTCGATCAAAATCTCGTAAGACCAGTGGTATTAGCGAAGACGAGAAAAAAAAGTTCATAGAAGAGGGGAGGCAACAAGCGCGTCAATTATTCCGTGCCAAAACCAAAGAACTGGTTGGAGATTAAAAATAGATTGTTTACTATCGTGTGATTACATTTAGACAAATGCTAACATAAATATATAATAATGGAGAAAGCTATTCAATGGAAAGAATTACCACAAGGTTTTTATTATATCAGTGATGTCAAACCAACCAAATACGGTTATCAATTGTTTCTTATCAATTTACAAAAAGAGTGTAGTTATATAGTCTGGTCTCCTAGTAAAATGAACGAAGAACTTAATAAAAATGTTGAATATCGCTTTATCGATAAAAATAATAAAGAATATTTTTATTACCATTTAGACTCATCTAAAGCAATGATTGGCCCCAGGTATTGGTAGTGGTCCAGAACCATCATTACCTATAAAAATTTATATCATTGACTCCACCTAGAGCTAATTTAACTTAATCTTATGACTATCGTTGAATCGCATCATCATTTTGGCATAAAAAATTCCTCCTGTAGTAGCAGTATAGGTATATGAATCCTGCTCCAGTGGAGTTGCGGCAGAACCATCATTACCTATACTACTAGGGTCAAGAAACTCCGAACACCTGGATTAAAGATATCTTAAACATCTGTCCTGGTTCAAGGAGTTTCTGAATATTTTTTCAACGTAACCAACTTCCACATTGTTACACGTTTACCTACGATGTTGTAGTTCTTTTTTTTCTTTGCTTGCCTAAATGTTCTCCACAGCTGCTATGACGTCATCGTTCGAGTCAAAATGGGCTCCGACATGTATGGGTACAGATGGAGGTCTGACAGAGCCAGATAGGGAGAATAAGGTGGGTGCTGAAGGAATACAAAGTCACACTCGTAAACTGCAGCAATGACTGACTTGTGTCCTGATGGTGTACGCATTGTCCTGATAACAGAGCACACCTTTTCTCAACTTCCCACCACGTCTCATAGCCTTTATTTCATCCCACCAATGCCTCAAAAGTGCAGCATTATACACCCCATTATTGTCTGTCCTTTTGGATGATAGTCCACTATGATGAGGCCATAACCTTCCAATTTGGAAGGACAACCTTTGCCTTTTTGGTGGGGAATTATGTCAACTGTCCACTGTTTTAATTGCTGTTTGCTTAAATTGGGGAACCCGGGTTTCATCCATAGTCACAAATCGTTGCTAGAACCTTCCTGCATCAGCTTCAAACAGATGGATAACAAGGGTTGATTGATAAATTCGGAGCCTCACGACCGCATCCGTGGTCTAGATGGTACTTGTTCCTATCCTGCCTGGTGCTCGGCATTAAGGGGCTAATACAAGGACGTGTCGGTTCGGAGTCAATATACTGTACCTGAGTGGGGTATTTATGGTAAATTGCGGCATGGTATCTCCGTGGGCTAGCACTATAAAATCAGCATTGGTCCGGACTAGTACAAGCACACACACTGACAGACATGCACGTCTCAATATAAGTGCAATAATCTTGAACGCGACGTTAAACACCATTTCACCTCACCTCATATTGAAGGTATTGCGTTATAGTGAAATGGGATGATGTGTCACAGAGGTATAACCATAAAAAAAACTTGAGTCAAATGAGCTAATGAGTAAAATATGCAGGATAATTTGGAAAAGGGGCAAAGTTGAGGAGCGTGTAGTGATCAAGTCTTTACAGAAACAAACACCAAAAAGCCGTCAAAGCAGATATGAATACAAAACTAGGAAAGGGTGTCCCTTCCAATGCATCCGAAAAGAGGTGGGCGGCGGAGTTTTAGCGCGGTAGTGAGCGCTTTGAAGACGACCCCATCCTTGAAGACCACGAAGACAACGAGTGTGTGTTTGAACTCTTTCAGCACTCGATCTGGCTAACCATATATGTCCCAAACACGAAATAAAGCTCTATCCCTAACCCATTTTGACTCGAACGATGACGTCATAGCAGATGTGGAGACCTTTTTGGACAGCCAAGACCAGGACTTCAACGAAACTCTTCAACATCGTTGGCAAAAGTGTATCAATGTGGAAGGTGATTATGTTGAAAAAGTCATTAATTTTTTTTGTCTTTAGGTGAAGTCTTTTTATGTGAGGTTCAATCAACCCTCGCATGGCTCTGCTCTCTTCTATCATGTTTATGTGATAAGGCTATTCTCTTATAATCATCTGTTTCTTTGAAATATCTGACTACAGAATGAATGCCTGTAGCTACTGCAGTAAGCTTTATGTATCATGCCAAAGGTATCTGTACATATGTATTCAATACATACTATATATCCATACAAACACCGTTATGTCTCCAGATAATGTCTGTCTGTAATAACATTGAGTGTACATACGCTTCCGGTACTCGGTAGGTAATTTATGACCGTTTCCGAGATGCACGTATATATATTGAAAATGCATTTTTTAGGTGTCTTACAAACAACTAACACATAATATTCAAATAAATAAAAGCGACAAAACCCTTTCCATATTCATAAGACATTTCTGCCACAAAAAGAATCGATTGTACGATTCCGACAATATCACGAGCAAGTATTAATCACTATTAAATAGTGATGATACAAGGTGTTCGCGAAAAGTGAGCGTATGTTGCCCCACCTGTTGCATCCGTCACAAACACATGCAAAGGCAAGTCAATTGCTCACCTGAAAAAAATACGGGTACATATATACCAGTCAAATTGGGGAATTTTGTTTCTTATGTTCCAGAGTGACTTCAGCCGTTTTGGGCAATATTCCATTTATTTTCTTGGCGTATCAACTAACGGGAGAAATTAATGAAGCGATGCAGGCCTAACACATCAGACGTCCATCGCTTTAATTGGTTAAACCCACGACACTGAGAATAAAGTCAAGTGAATTCTACTAACTTAATTAGTAACAGCGGTCAGAATGTTAGTAGACAGCGAATTTCTATAGTGCTTGGAAGACTGCACGCGGCAGCCAATTGCTGTTTGCCGTATTGTGTAACTAAACTTAAACCATGGCTTCTTTGTCTTCCAACGGGCATTAACTGATTGAATTGTCAGTTAAACACCACTTGGCAATGACGGAACTTCTTATCATACAACTTGATGACAGAACAATTTCCAGGAACCGATAGAAAAGAAATTTCTCTTATCCTGATCAGTGGTATATTTGCTCATAAGTCAGTCAACAAGGGCAAGGAATGTTTAGGTAAATGACAAATATGCTCAGATTGGTTCTGTATGAATTGTACACTTTCCCCGGGACACCCGAGTGGCCACAAAGCGAGGTGCACGTGCAAATATTCGGGGAACACATTTCACGTGCGTCACGCATGGCCTACTCACACAGTGTTCTGACAGATGAGTGTAGAATTCCTAAATGGGTGAGTGGATATTGTTTTACGCCGCCTTTAGCACTATCACGGGAATGGGCTTCACACATTGTTGGGAATCGATGTGGATCGATGTAGGTCTTCGGCATGACGAGCGAACGTTTTAACTACTAGGCTACCCCACCGCCCCATATGGTTCTTGAATATAGGTTTGCTTGTTTGTTGTTAACGCCGCACTTAGCAATATTCCGGCTATATGACGGCGGTCTGTCAATAATCAAGACTGGACCATACAATCCTGTGATTGACATCATGAGCATCGATCCGCGCAATTGGTATACGATGACATGGATCAACTGATTCAGCGAGCCTGACCGCCTGATCCCGTAAGTCGCCTCTTCCGACAAGTACAGTCGCATTTTAAGGCAAGCATGGGTTGCTGAAGACCTATTCTAACACGGGTCTTCACGGGTGTGATTACGTTTTTAAATAAGGTTATCAAAACCATGACTTTTGGAACATTTAGATGCTAGGGTTCACTGAATGAATGTTAACCATGGTTTAAATACTTAGGACCTTTTCGGCGCTCCGAGGCTAGTGGTTAAACTGACCATGTCAACGGTAAAACATCGGATCCGAACGGTTCAGCTTTAAAATTATTGCCACTGTTAATTAGTATATGTTATCTTTCACAAGTATTGTTTATGCATTGTTATTTGCTTGTTTTTTGCAAATAGTATTTAAACAGCTGTCAACAGAGAGCGCAAAATGACCAAGAAACGAGCATTTACAAAAGTGTAGTGAAACTTACTACAAGTCTAGTAAATACACCATTGCCTTAGTAAATTTCTTTGAAAGATGGATAGTAATCTCCACTAACTGATTAATAAATTGTACGAGTCTAAGATTGGCCGCCTATAGCCTGCCTGAGACGACTTGACTTGACTTGACGATCCCACGCCTGTGGACAATCAAATGTCGTTTAAAGAAGGAAAGTAAAGTTAACTATTATAAAATATTGCTTTACTTGAAAAATCGCATATACCGATACATATCAATACATTGCCTGGCGGCAAGTATTCAAAACAATGGGAATACATGAGAAGGTGGGAAATATATATATTATATAAAACAGCTAAATGCGTCAGATAAATAATTATAGTCCAAGCATACAATTTCTAGATGTGTATGAAGTTTAAAGAGTAAGTGAGAACAGAGAGTAAGATAAAACATGACATTGTCCCAATTGAAAATGTGGTGGCACTGTTAAAAGGTCTCATGTCCTTCTTAAAGTTTTCATGGTGACAGACCTTGTCAATGGTCTGTTTGTGTGTAGCACCACAGTTGTCTGGAAGAAGACCACACTCCAACTCCGTCCTCAAACCAATGACGGCATCCGCACAAGACATGTGGTTCTTTTTGCTCCAGGCTTCCAGATCACAGCTGACGTGCTCCAGACGGACGTCACAGAATCTGTTGAAGAACTGGTCCTCTTTGAGGTTCTGTTGTTCTGCCGTCATCATCAACTCCATGGTCTTCTGGTTCATTGTCTGCTGACACGACACAACAGCTTCTGTGGGTTCCGCAAAACAGTCGATGCCGTTGAGGTACACTTCAGGGTGAGCGCACAGAACTCCAACACCTTTGTCCATAGACTCAATGTCAAGGCCGATGGCGCGGAGAATCATGGGAGATTCAGGACAGTCGTCTCTCTTCTGTTTCATGCATGTCACGAGAGAGTCTTTGTTCTTGCAATAAGTGTCAGCCTGATCCGCTGTGGTCCCGATGATGGCGCCGCGGCCCATGGTGGAGTTGGAGAGGAAGAGGGTGGGGTCAAGGTTGGCGTCAACATAACACTGACGTAGATACTCTGTGAGTGTACGGCGACATGGGTGTGCGCACAATTCATCCAGAGATCCGAAGAGGGAACGGAACTGTCTGTCGATGAGGGGTCTCTGATCCTGTTGTGTTTGGCTCGGGGCACACATCGTAGAGTTGATCAATGTCCTCATGAACTCCACACCGCACTGAAGCAACGCCTCCTGCTTGCTACAAGCATCTTGTCTGAACGTGTCGGGACTGTCGGGCGCTTGTCCGTTTGTCCCGTTTGTCAACAAGTATAAGAAGTTATTGAAGGCCATCTGACTCTTTTGAACACAGGTGTTGAGGTTTTGAACAAAGTTATTTTGACACGGGGTCATTCCTTGTTGACTTTGAGCTGTTGCCATGGAAACAAGAACCATGGCAATACAACCTGACACTGTCTTCCCAAACATGTTGATGTACTGGTTGAGGAATGTCTAAAACAACTGATTGTTGACAGTCTTCTGTGTACTATTTATACTTGAATCATTGTTATTTCGAGGTCATGACTCTTCCTCCAATCAGAACGGGGTATGACATCACGTAAATTATGCGTCCTTGATTCACTTCCTCAACTGAATCTGAGATTGTGAAGCGTCGTGTGATCTTCCCTCGATGTTACGTCATACAGGGGTGGCCGCGACTGCCCCGGGGTCCTCCGGTCGGTGTGGTTACACGTCACATGTTTTACACACCCTTAATTGATTGACCATTATACCACCCGATTATTCAAAGACTTGGTTAAATCAACAGATTATATTGATGTGTATGCTGCAGGCTGTTATACTTATTTGTCGTCATGCAGTGTCCTCAAGTATATTTTTACAACTACAATCTGCACATATTCAAAGTAGATGGACAGTGGATTGACAGGAACTATGGAAACATAACAGTAAAGGTTAAGGTCACAGACTCGCAGGCTGTCATCATGCTTCTTGTCAACAGGTCCTAGTTAAGTGTGTAACACTTTAACCTGTGGAGAGAAATTGTCTTGATGCATTTTCGTACTGTACATATTAAGATGTGTATTTGGGAACTGACCTTGAAGCAGCGGAACAGTAGTGATGCCAGGTTGAAATTGAATAAAATAGGAGAATAAAATTGTTCATCCAGTATGCTGACTTCATTTCTATATACATTTACTGTCATACTCTGTAATTGTCTCGATAAGTACACATAACTGGTCCTTGTGTGATGCCGGCTTCAGTGGAACGCATTGCATACAGCGTTGGAGTTCACACAATATTAATGTTTTATCTCTTGCAAAGCATTCGTATCAGTGGGTGTGTTACCAAAAACATTTGCTTCTACAGGGATACCTAATTACATACACAACAGATACCATAATGGTATAAACAATATACGATGTACTTAGTTATGAACAAATCTACATTGTGTTTACTGTTGTTGAAACTTGAGTTGAAGTGAACTTTTCATTTAGTTGTATTCATACAAGGACACTCCATACTTATCAACTTTATCCAAACAAGTCATAAAGAGAAGGCCTGCATACACACAATACTATGTGTCCGTCGAAATTACCATTGAAGAAATGTACTTCAATCTCAATGAATTTGTATGTTAATTTGTATAAATGCAGACAGTGGAATCTGCCGACACCGGACCTTGTTGGGACGACCGCAACACTGAGGAAAGTGTGTTCAGATTCCAAACATAAATCTAAGCATGTTCCTTGTCCCACTAGTGGCCCAAAAATGTTTATTTCGTGAATATTCTTAGAATTGTGTTTCAATATATGAACATTAAAATCGAAAAATATGTTCGAAGTATTTAGATCGTCTTGAATTTCAACGAACTTATCTGGTATAGTTTCTCTATAAAATAGATGCATTTCATCAGGACAACGTGAAGACTAAGGGCCTTTAAGTTAAATTGAGTGAGTTAGTTTGGCTTAACGCCGTATTCCAGTTATATCACCGTGTGTCAGATTAATGTGGGAGGAAAACCCGAAGTGACATAAGTCTCACTTTGGTGAAACCCAAGAGCAGGGGTATGGTGCTGACAAACCAGGAAACATAATGGGGGCGAACCGGGATTCCTACTTGAATCATAGGTTGATGGCGTGCCCAAGGGACGCAACCCTGCAGATCGAATTGCTGTGCCTTAACACTTCAGTTCAAATAAGTACATTTTTGAAAATCATTGACTCTCGCATGCTGCTGTATTTATAAAAGCAAAATTACCTATTCACTATTCAGATGATATTGAAGTAGTTGATGTGAATATACGTTTGTGAATATAAGGATATTATTGAAATGTGTTTATGTGAACAATGATGGTCAACATATCTCTCCTGACTAACTAGTGAACAACTTTGAGTCCAACAAACATTACGATTGTTAAACACCATTCTAAACATTTTAGGGCCTTAAACACGTAGAATAGGTGATTTTGTGGGTATGTAGTGCGGTACTGGACCAGGCAAACCACTGATTGATATCATGAGCATCGGCGTACGTAATGCGAATGCGACGACATGCATTAACCACACATTGATCGCACGATCCGTTTTCCGACTCTTACGACAAGCATGGGTTGGTGAAGAGAAATTCTAACACGTATCTTTAAGTTGGGAGGTACCATGACCTGTTTAGATTAGATGTTTCTAAAAGGGTGTTTATATTGTTTCTAGGTTTCATTTCCGAACAGGTAACACTTTAAAGAAATATGTTTTAGTTACAAATATATATTTTCGAACGTTTATATTAATATACACGTTGCAATAAAGTTTGTTTCTTATTAATTGACACAACTGCGGTTCTGCTGTTTCTCCTGTTTGGTGCATATTCTTTTGTTGGTGACTTTTAGTCTGTCATGATACGTTTATCATTAAAGCGTAATGATTTAGTAGATCAAACAATGATTGGCCGGTGTTTTAATATCTCATTATCCCCGGGGCAGTCGCGGCCAACCTAGTGTGACGTAACAATCAGGGAAGTTCACACGGCCCTTTACAATCTCACATTCAGTTAAGGAAGTGATTGTGATAAATTCAGTAACTCATATGTTACCTTTATCAATAGAATGTCAGCATCCATTGTGACATAATCTGTCTCCTGCCCCTTGATTGGAGGAAGAGTCACACCCTCGTAATAACAAATATTCGAGTTCAAGTATATAAAGTACCCGGGACTTCACTTGTTTTTCACATTTCTCAATCGGTACATCAGCATGTTTGGAAAAACATTGTCTTGTTGTGTTGCCATGGTTCTTGTTTCCATGACAACGGCTCAAAGTCAACAAGGAATGACCCCGTGTCAAAATAACTTTGTTCAAAACCTCAACACATGTGTTCAAAATAGTCAGATGAACTTTAATAACTTTTTATACTTATTGTCAAACGGAACAAACGGACAAGCTCCCGCCAGTCCCGACACGTTCAGACAAGATGCTTGTAGCAAGCAGGAGGCGTTGCTTCAGTGCGGTGTGGAGTTCATGAGGACATTGATCAACTCTACTTCGTGTGCAGCAACTCAAACACAACAGGATCAGAGACCCCTCATCGACAGACAGTTCCGTTCCCTCTTCGGATCTCTGGATGAGATGTGCGCACACCCATGTCGCCGTACACTCACGGAGGATCTACGTCAGTGTTATGTTGACGCCAACCTTGACCCCACCCTCTTCCTCTCCAACTCCACCATGGGCCGCGGCGCCATTATCGGGACCACAGCGGATCAGGCTGACACTTTCTGTAAGAACAAAGACTCTCTCTTGACATGCATGAAACAGAAGAGAGACGATTGTCCTGAATCTCCCATGATTCTCCGCGCCATCGGCCTTGACATTGAGTCTATGGACAAAGGTGTTGGAGTTCTGTGCGTTCACCCTGAAGTGTACCTCAACGGCATCGACTGTTTCGCGGAACCCACAGAAGCTGTTGTGTCGTGTCAGCAGACAATGAACCAGAAGACCATGGAGTTGATGATGACGGCAGAACAACAGAACCTCAAAGAGGACCAGTTCTTCAACAGATTCTGTGACGTCCGTCTGGAGCACGTCAGCTGTGATCTGGAAGCCTGGAGCAAAAAGAACCACAAGTCTTGTGCGGATGCCGTCATTGGTTTGAGGACGGAGTTGGAGTGTGGTCTTCTTCCAGACAACTGTGGTTCAACGCATAAACAGACCATTGACAAGGTCTGTCACCATGAAAACTTTAAGAAGGACATAAGACCTTTTAACAGTGGCACCACAGCTTCAGCTACAATTGGTACATTTCTAATTTGGATAATTCCAAATGTGATCCCATTTCACTGACATCATGGTGACTTGAGATGAATCCTTTGCTTTTAGAAAGCAAATCCATAATTTACTCATAGACTTCATGTGTTTAAATATAATGATTATTTAGTAAATTGTTTTATGAAATATATTTATTAACACTTATATATGGCTATCATGTCATTTTTGTCATCCGTCTTTACTGAAGGATCAAGTGTTTTTTCTTTTACTGTTTTTGAGAGACTATCATACAACCGACCATGGACTTTGTATAAGCAAGCAAGGTCAAAGTGTAGTATTATAAGTTAAATGACCTGAATTTTGAAAAAAAGATGAACAAATGACAAACCGACAAAAGACAACAGAGGTGGATAAAGAAACACAGATATTCATTTTAACATGTTTTGAAGAACTTATGTTTTTTTATGTTTCAAGTGGAGTTTAGCCTATTTGTACAGTTCTGGGCAAACAAAAGTGGCAAGCTGTTACTTGGAGCGGTAAGATCGAACTTTTGGGGAAACAATACCGAATTTTGTTGCGTTCGCATCCCTATTCGTTCAGATTAGTATCCTAGGGGTTTTCCAGGACAGTGCTCGTGGGTCTCATACATATTGTAAACGTCCACGACAAGGGTCATTTAGGGAATTCCCCCCGCATTAATCTGGTACGTCACGATAGAACTTGAGTACAGGTGAAGGCGATGTTAAACCCAACACACTCACTATCTGCAATCCCTCCTTGGTATGGCTTGATAATAGTACCTGGGGCTAGCCTTGCACAGAACAGATTCGCTCACTCCATCCACGACTCACGCGTAGTACCTGATGAGGATGCATGTGCACGGGTAAGCGGCTCCATCTGGAACCGCGTATGGTCTACTTAAGAAATAAACGACGAGTGGAAATTGTTTATCGTACAATGTAGTGGTTTATCCCCCCTGCAGTGTTATATTTCGTATATGAGACATCAGCATTATGTATAGTCTATTCAAGGATGTTAAACAAATGTACAAGGTTTGAAACTGTTTACCCGTATTTAAATAATGATGTCTCCCCGAATAAAATTGGATCTCGGCGATGTCGGAGTTTCACGTTTCAAGTTTCACGTCGATTATCTGTACCTATTTGTCCCTATACCGAATGTCATATCTCGCCCACTTTGGGATGCGATCATTCGGCCATTGCATTTATCTACGTTGCTCAGCTACATCTAAGGGAAACAACACAGTAGACACTTCTCTCGCAAAACAACTTCGTTCAATTTAAAACGTCAAGTTGCGAGCGTATGTTCGAATCTCCAGAAATTACGTCATGATAGAACAGTGAAATAAACCTCGCTTCGTTTTTCATTGTTCTTTGCGATCTACCTCGTATATTAGTACATACCTCATAGCTCTACATGTGATATATATATATTCCTATTTGTTGTGTATAAACACGACTGTCCAATGTTTCATGAGGCCTTTTGAGGACGGAAGAAGTTGCATGTGGATATAAAGTCCATGTCCTAAACTAATTGATTGAGTGAGTGAGTATGGTTTAACGCCGCTTTCAGGTTATCCCAATCCTGATCAGGGACGTTTACTCTTAAACGCTGGAGGGGATATTCGACATGACGCATGGTTACAGAAATACAACGAGGTATCGAGTGGTGGTGGTGACTGATGGATAACGAATAGGAGGGACCAGGTGTAACATGAAAATCAATAGAACATGTTACAAGGCTGCAAACAACCAAGACAGACCCGACAGAGTGGGTAATCTTAAAATATACGTTTGATCAACAATGGGTCATGCCCCCTCAATTGGTCAAACATTTGTTTATAGGGCGTGGCATGGGAGTGGTGGCAGCTTCCGGACAGTCGCCTCTCATCTGTTTCATACATGTCAAGGCAGTGTTCTTCTACTTACATTAACAGTTGGAATAGTCAATCTCCCAATGACAACTCGAGGGAGCCTTGTCCACACCTCTTGCAGCGCCTCGCCCAGTTCGAACATTTTGTGTCCACAGAGACCTATTCCAAAGTCTGCAAATCACAGACTGGGAAACATGGAATATAAAGGCAAGCTCTCGCTTTGAAGCAAGTCAAAGGCACTCAGGCCTTCATCACTTTGTAGACGAAACGTTCCAATCTGATCACATATACTGCATTTAAGTGTAAGATAAAGCACGTCCGAGGCTTTTTATGATATTTAAAACCGAGGGGCGTAAGCCCCGAATAGCAAGGATAAGAGTTTCAAATATCATTAAAAAAAAACAGGGGAAGTGTTTTATCTAACTTATAAACCGAAAAAAATGAAACTTAAAACAGCATTTATTAACATTTTTTATGTTTCAAACATACTTTCCATGTGCTCAAAACCATACGGTTCTTGACAAAGGCACTGCGATTTATCAGCGCCTCCGTAGCCTAGTGGTACACTCATTTGTCACTCGATTTTACATTTCATTACATGTTACAATCTGAACGGAAGTTTTAGTCATAAAACAACCGGGATATTATTAGACATTACATAGCAAACAGGCCTGGAGTATCCTTAATATTCCCGGGTACATTACAACATCCCCGTTTTGGAGATTTAACTCGACAAGATAACAATAGGACGAGGTCAGTGGAGGTTTATATATATAAACAATTGTTATTGTATATTGTATAATTCATTAGGTTAAATAAACTTTATAAAGCACAATTGCTTAGCTTTAACTTCATTGCGACCCAAGCCAGCTGTCACAAAGTTAAAATGGCGGAAATCGAGCTGCCAAGGCATTGTGAACTGTTTGTTTAAGAACGAAAGTATGATTTATCTATAACTGATACTGAGTATGCTTAGAACGATGAATTCTTCAAAAGTTGCGGTCAGTGGAAAACTCTTGAAAAGTAAATAAGATCGATTGACAGGCACGTTATCGACATCGACGCTGACATAATTATCCTAATCAATATGCGTAACATGGTGGCATTGATATATAATTATTTTACGAGATAACAGTATGCTATGAAGCTCTATAACAGCATGCTATGATCATCTGATAGATTTCTGACCAAAACGAATTTTAAAACATTGAATTACGTGAAAACGAGGTTGGCAATAATATACTACAGTAAACTACGACAATAACGAACTCGAAGGGACCACTTATTTTGATAGTTTTGTATGTACCTGCAAAACTAATTACAGTTTACAGGATAATTATCATATAATTCGTGCACTGTCATTTAAGCATCAAAACTACAACAGGGAAATATTTATGAAATATGTCTTGCTTTCTAATTATTTACAACCTGTCATAACTATAAATTTTACAATTTAGATACATTAATAAATATACATTCTTCGTGATGGCCATCACAATATTGAATGTAATCCTTAAGAACGACTTAATTAAATTAAATTTAATTTAATTAAAATACCACTTACAAAACTATCTGGGCCCGGGAAAATTTTGGTCTAGCAAATCCGAATTAGTCCTGCAAACCAGCATTAATTTGGCCCCTGAGGCCAGCTTGGCCTTACAACGGAATTCTATCGTGCATGTGTAAGACCCAAAGCATAAATGTACGGCGCACGTATTGGCCCCATAGCTCTACTGTAAGACGCACGTATTGGCCCCATAGCTCTACTGTCAGGCGCAGGTATTGGCCCCATAGCTCTACTGTCAGGCGCAGGTATTGGCCCCATAGCTCTACTGTAAGACGCACGTATTGGCCCCATAGCTCTACTGTCAGGCGCACGTATTGGCCCCATAGCTCTACTGTCCGGCACACGTATTGGCCCCATAGCTCTACTGTAAGGCGCACGTATTGGCCCCATAGCTCTACTGTAAGGCGCACGTATTGGCCCCATAGCTCTACTGTAAGACGCACGTATTGGCCCCATAGCTCTACTACTGGGGCAAACGTATTGGCCCCATAGCTCTACTGTAAGGCGCACGTATTGGCCCCATAGCTCTACTGTAAGACGCACGTATTGGCCCCATAGCTCTACTGTCAGGCACACGTATTGGCCCCATAGCTCTACTGTCAGGCGCACGTATTGGCCCCATAGCTCTACTGAAAGACGAACGTATTGGCCCCATAGCTCTACTGTAAGGCGGACGTATTGGCCCCATAGCTCTACTGTAAGGCGCACGTATTGGCCCCATAGCTCCACTGTAAGACACACGTATTGGCCCCATAGCTCTACTGTCAGGCGCACGTATTGGCCCCATAGTTCTACTGTAAGGCGCACGTATTGGCCCCATAGCTCTACTGAAAGACGCACGTATTGGCCCCATAGCTCTACTGTCAGGCGCACGTATTGGCCCCATAGCTCTACTGTCAGGCGCACGTATTGGCCCCATAGCTCTACTGTAAGGCACACGTATAGGCCCCATGGCTCTATTGTCAGGAGCACGTATAGGCCCCATAGCTCTACTGTCAGGCGCATGTATTGGCCCCATAGCTCTACTGTAAGGCACACGTATAGGCCCCATAGCTCTACTGTAAGGCGCACGTATTGGCCCCATAGCTCTACTGTAAGACGCACGTATTGGCCCCATAGCTCTACTGTCAGGCACACGTATTGGCCCCATAGCTCTACTACTGGGGGATGTATTGGCCCCATAGCTCTACTGTAAGGCGCACGTATTGGCCCCATAGCTCTACTGTAAGACGCACGTATTGGCCCCATAGCTCTACTGTCAGGCACACGTATTGGCCCCATAGCTCTACTGTAAGACGCACGTATTGGCCCCATAGCTCTACTGTCAGGCGCACGTATTGGCCCCATAGCTCTACTGAAAGACGAACGTATTGGCCCCATAGCTCTACTGTCAGGCGCACGTATTGGCCCCATAGCTCTACTGTAAGGCGCACGTATTGGCCCCATAGCTCTACTGTAAGACGCACGTATTGGCCCCATAGCTCTACTGTCAGGCGCACGTATTGGCCCCATAGTTCTACTGTAAGGCGCACGTATTGGCCCCATAGCTCTACTGAAAGACGCACGTATTGGCCCCATAGCTCTACAGTCAGGCGCACGTATTGGCCCCATAGCTCTACTGTCAGGCGCACGTATTGGCCCCATAGCTCTACTGTCAGGCGCACGTATTGGCCCCATAGCTCTACTGTGAGCACACGTATAGGCCCCATAGCTCTACTGTCAGGCGCACGTATTGGCCCCATAGCTCTACTGAAAGACGCACGTATTGGCCTCATAGCTCTACTGTCAGGCGCACGTATTGGCCCCATAGCTCTACTGTCCGGCGCACGTATTGGCCCCATAGCTCTACTGTAAGACGCACGTATTGGCCCCATAGCTCTACTGTAAGGCGCACGTATTGGCCCCATAGCTCTACTGTAAGACGCACGTATTGACCCCATAGCTCTACTGTAAGGCGCACGTATTGGCCCCATAGCTCTACTGAAAGACGAACGTATTGGCCCCATAGCTCTACTGTAAGGCACACGTATTCGCCCCATAGCTCTACTGTCAGGCGCAGGTATTGGCCCCATAGCTCTACTGTAAGACGCACGTATTGGCCCCATAGCTCTACTGTCAGGCGCACGTATTGGCCCCATAGCTCTACTGTCCGGCACACGTATTGGCCCCATAGCTCTACTGTAAGGCGCACGTATTGGCCCCATAGCTCTACTGTAAGGCGCACGTATTGGCCCCATAGCTCTACTGTAAGACGCACGTATTGGCCCCATAGCTCTACTACTGGGGCACACGTATTGGCCCCATAGCTCTACTGTAAGGCGCACGTATTGGCCCCATAGCTCTACTGTAAGACGCACGTATTGGCCCCATAGCTCTACTGTCAGGCACACGTATTGGCCCCATAGCTCTACTGTCAGGCGCACGTATTGGCCCCATAGCTCTACTGAAAGACGAACGTATTGGCCCCATAGCTCTACTGTAAGGCGGACGTATTGGCCCCATAGCTCTACTGTAAGGCGCACGTATTGGCCCCATAGCTCCACTGTAAGACGCACGTATTGGCCCCATAGCTCTACTGTCAGGCGCACGTATTGGCCCCATAGTTCTACTGTAAGGCGCACGTATTGGCCCCATAGCTCTACTGAAAGACGCACGTATTGGCCCCATAGCTCTAC